ATTTGTATGGACATGCATTTTCACATTTTGTTTTGATAAATAATTTCTGATTCTAACAAAACACCAGGGAGGATATTTTCTTTTTATTCTTTGATTTAAAGAGTTGAGAGTTCATCTGAAAAACTTTATTTTTCTGAGTTGCTTAACTTAAAGTAATTTTGTATTCATCTAACTTCAAAGAGTTAAGATAAGATCTTGATTACCAGGTGTTCATAGTTTGCTTTGTTTTTTTTTGTCATGTCACCCATGAGAAGTCAAGAAGTTTAAAAGTAAAATTAATATTAACCTTAATTTTTCTATGTAACAGAAATGGTCAAGAGCAGCTATTAATGCAGAATATACTGCCAACATACTAAAAATATCAATTACATTTTTAAGGATTACATTGCATAATTTACAGCAAAAAAAGAAGCATTTACAGCTATTATCAGCAGTAAAGTGCTTCTATGACACTGGAAAAATGCAATCATGGACCAGTAGTTGGATGCCTTAAAGCACAGTGATAGCGAAAAGAAATAGAAAAACAAAAATTCGTTAAAGTTTTACAAAATATGAAATAGATATAAAAACAAATTCCAAATTTGGGCTTCCAGATGCCCATATTAGGTGGAAATGTACATTATTCAAAATTTGATGGCTCTAGGTACCGTTGTTTTATCACAATGCGAGAAACATATACACATTTATGCAGATCTTCATTATTTAATTTCTTTAAATATAATACAGGGCTGTAATATTTGGTTGTTAAAAATAATTCTGGACATTAAATTGCATGGCAAGGAAAGAGGGTACATTATCAACAGCAACAGATCCAGTAAATTAATCATTACGGTCAGAATTTAATGCTGCAAGTAGTGACCATACATGACAACAAAACAAAACAAAAAAAAAAACGCTACTCATCTTTAGAGGCCATCTTGACAGAAAGGTATTCAAGACAGAACTTTTCAGGCCATGTTAATCTTTTCCATAGGTATGTGTTCATTTTTGTATACAGATGACAATATTCACTCATATAATACAAATGCATTACTAAGGTATTGGAGAGTGAAGCTGCACGACATGACCTGCATATTATGTAGCCCATTGTTGGAGAGTGAAGACAATAACTGCATGACATGGCCTGCATATTATGTAGACCTGTCCCATTGATTAAATCCCGGGCACTTTTAATATGTATACAGCACAAAGGAGATAGCCAGCACAAAATATCCAAGACCTTTAAACTGCCTTGCAAGAAAAATGGATAATATCATAACAGCATTTCCAAACAATCTTGCAAATAGTTTGCCAAATTAATCTGCACCATGTATTGGAGTTTGAGAAAACCATGCTACAAGCTGATAGTGCAAGGTATGCTTATTCTGCTTATTCCATGATGCTCCTATGGGGGCTTTTCTTCTTTTATTAACCTGTCCACCCCCTTAATGATGACGTTAGGACTTAACCCTTTGACTACTAACGGGACATACATGTCTCACTAAAAGTTTAAAAATTACTACTGGGTTAAAAAGTACTTAGAATCTCCTAAATGTTGAGAATCATCTTCCAGTAGTTGAAAAATCAAGATGGCGCTGTGCTCATTGTACACAAATAAACATAGAGAAAAGAACAAATATGAGTTGCCCAATGTGTAATGTTGGATTATGCAAAGAATGCTTTACCATTACACACCGGTCTACTCATATATGTTCTTTTCTCTATGTTCATTTGTGTGCAATGAGTACAGCGTCATTTTGATTTTCCAACTACTGGAAGATGATTCCCAACATTTAGGAGATTCTAAGTACTTTTTAACTCAGCAGTAATTTTTAAACTTACAGTGGAACATGCTATGTCCCATTAGTAGTCAAAAGGTTAAGGCCTAACATCATAATTTTCGGTTCTATTTTAGATTATTACTTTATGCTATCATAGATGCTAAAACAGTGGTTCTGGAGGCTCCGGAAAGGTCACTTGTTGGCCGGCCGGGGTGTGGCAAGTCCTAGAGCAGATGGCTCTAGTAGCCTGGGGTGGTATCCTGATGACGTTGGGTAACGCCCCTAGCGACGGGCAGTCTGAGTGAAAGGCAGGTAGCAAATCACAGTCAGCAACCGGTGTCGCAACAGCGATGTGTCCTCTCCAAGGTGCGAGGGCAAAGGTTGGACCCCTGTGCCTGGTTCTGAGGGGCCTCTTTGTGCCCTTATTGGCAGAAAGAGGAATGCCCAAATTGTTGTTGCTGTTACCCTGTACCATATGATGTAAAATATATTTCATATAATAAAGTTTTCTAGAATAATAGGTGTGCTTATAATAAGTTGATCACTACATATAGGACAAACTATGCATCCCACTATTAAGTATGGCATGAGCAGATGTCCCGGCCTTTGGCTTGAAAACTGCTTGTCAAAAAATCCCCAATACTAAATTTACCTTATTTATGACATATTTTGTTCACTTGGATAGAAAATGGCGCATTCCCCCCCCCTTTTTTAAAAATTCATAAAGGGTTAAACCTTGTTTTGTGTGTGATTTTTTTTCCCTCTAAAGTTAGGCTTAAGTGATGCAAAACCCTCGACTCCCATTAATTTTAAAAAAGGTGCACTATCTTGAAAGGATTAAGCATTTATCACAAAACAGTTCAATCCATAGGATTAAATATCTCACTCCAATAATTCCACCTCAGATTCGATATTAATTCACTTGGATAGAAAATGGCACACTTTCCCTCTTTTTTTAAATTCATAAAGTGTTAAACCTTGTTTTGCGTGTGATTTTTTTTTCTCTTAAGTTAGGCTTAGCGACACAAAACCCCCCGACTCCCATTCACCCCGAGGAAATTTTAAAAAAGGTGCACAGTCTTGAAAGGGTTAAGCATTTATCACAAGACAGTTCAATCCATAGGATTGGAGGCCCACCAGTGGCCGAGCAGTAAAACCGCTGAACACTGGTAGTTCAGTCCAGGGTTCGAGTCCCGGCGAACGGGCTGGCTGCATGGGTGTTTTTGTGGTTTTCCCCCTGTGCATTGTGGATACGAACCAGTTTCCCTTAAAAAGACCTCCAGGGGGCATCCTTCCCTCTCCGTGTAGTGCCCAAGGGCGGAGCACGTAATAAGCAAAAAATAAAATAATCCATAGGATTAAATATCTGAATCCAATAATTCCACCTCAGATTCTATATCAACTGTGAAAGGCTTTCTTATTCTAGCTTTGTTCCTAAGAATTAGAGGAAAATATTTTTTCAGATTTGTCTGCCATCATATCAGTTCCTTGATAACTAAAATTTCATCAGGCATGGAACTGATATTGTATTCTTTTTGCACCTCAGTTAGCTTCACAAAAACATTATACTTTCTGCTTCCACAAGAAGGGTTCACAAACTCAGTTTTTCCATTGCAACTCCTACTGCTTCTAAAAGTGCAAGAAGCAATAGGAGTCACTTTGTTGCCTTGTAATAAAAGATTTAACTTATTTAAAAAATTAAAAATGGCACAAATATATCACTAAATATAATTAAACATTATGATTTTTATCATTAAACATCATAGCATTACTAAAATTATCTTTAAAGACAAATACTATTTTTCTTTAGCCATGGGGGAAAGATGATTTAAAAACATTTAAACTTCTCTCATTTCTTAGTCTCTTGAAAACATTCCCTATATACAATGTTCATACTAAACAATGAAAAAAACATTCATTTCATTGCCCATCTCTTTACAGAATGCACGAATAGCCTCAAAATCAAGGAATGATGTTTTATAAGATTTATAAAATTTATAAATTTTATACGCATTTGTACAGATGTTTGCACAAACAATGGCATTTTCTTTTAAGACCAAGGCTGCAGGCTATGAATAAGGCTGAGTAAATGCAATTCAACCATACACATTATAGTGCCATAACCTTTATTTTTGGAAAAAGCCTTGCATGGACACTTGCCACAGTAAGAGCATTGGTGCTGCTCAGTTCCACGCATTTTTTTCCAATGCCACTTCAACTGATGTTAAATATCAAATCATATCCCACAGAACACATTAAATTAGCCTTTTCTGATGTGTCTATACTTTCATCAGATTAAAGAGGAAAAAAAATTGCATGCTTAAACTGCAATAGTTTCTTCGATATTATTTGCTATTTAAATGACTCATTATGTTATTGGAGAGAGATAATATATTTGTCAGATTTTACTGATTTTTATCACATATATGAGATGCTAATATTTTCAGTGCAGAGCATATTTGTTACACGACTGAATGAGGATATCGAATTTCTGCAATTAATTGGGATATTTCATAAGAAGCCATAAACAGATTTCCTGATAAAGCCCTCCTCTGGAGAAAAATCTGAAGAGAAAGCCTGTTTGCAAGCTATCTTTCTTCTTATTTATAAAGAAATCTATAGATTTCTTAATGTATTTCAGATGTTTCAGTTCCAAAAGTCACTTCAACTTTGAAGGTCTCATGGGTTCATTTGATAAATATGTATAACAAATAATACACAATGCTTTTTCATCAGCATCTTTTATGAAATCAAATTTTATATCATAATCATAAGAATGTTGTCAGCAGGATGTTTTCCTTTTTTTCATATGCATGATAAATAACACTACCTGTAGCAGTTTGTCAGTTCCTGTCCAGACATAATTTGATTCCATATTGGTTATAACTGGCACTTTTTTCCCTGTTCTATTAATCATTAATCCATTGATAATTCAATGTGATACTATATTATAATAAATAGTAAATAAGTTAAAAAATGTATGCAGTATCCAAGCTATGTTTTCCCACTGTTGATGGACATCACCTTTTGACAAACTATAATATAGTTTTATGTTACTGTAATATGTAAGGTTAGTAAGCTCCTTAAGTTTATCTGTGACACAACATTTTGCTTTCATGACCCAGCGCAATCTCACAACCCAGCATCTGGGAAATGCCACAAATGCATCATGGCATTTTATTACCATTAAAATATTAACACTTTCTTATGATGTAATTAGAGGTTCTAATGTATACTTACATCTTGTTCATGTAAATTCCTGTGTTTGGATATGCTTGAATTAAGACGACTTTTCCTAACAACTGGTTTTATTTTAATAGTTGGCACATGTTTATTTTGGTTATTCAAAGGTTTTAATTGAGAATTGATGAGAAATGATGATGATTTCCCTTGGTCTGAAATATCTGCTACAGAGCTGTAAAATAAAATAAATTATTAGTAATTGATGAGCTAAAAAAAAAATTACAGTTTCGGACCATGGAAATATAATATCTGACAAAATCAATGATGAAACATTTTGCTTCCAAATTCTAAACTTTTTTTTAAATCTACACTAAATGGAAATGGGAAATTATATTTCTTAATTCTAAAATTATTTTTTTTTAATTTTTTAGATTAATACTAATAATGATGATAACATTAATCCATGTCATTTTGAAAAGATTTATGATGTATTCTCAAAACATAAATAATTAAATAACATTACTAACATAATAATTAAATAATAACATAACATTAATCCATGTCATTTCAGGAAGATTTATGTTGAAATTTTCTCAAAACATAAATAATAAAATAAACACAAATTTTATTTAATTGACACCTTATATATAGTACATAATATATCTTTATGTATAACTATTAAGATTTCCAACCTCATTTCAATATTTTATTTACGAAATGAAGTATTTTCAAAAGTGTGAAAAGAGATACATCTACCAATCAACAATACATGTGAAGAGAAAACTGGAAACACCTAATCATTTCGGCTAAGGTGATACAGAAAGAATAACAGGTCATATTCTCATGACATTGAGTTCATGAGTTACAAAGGTCTGTAACATTTTATTTACAAAGGGAAGAGAGAAAGAGACACTGGGCATAGCCATGTATACTAGAAATAGCCATATTTTTAGGCTAATGATCATTATATTGGCAATCTCAAACCGAAATGTTAATATTTCTCATTTTCATTATAAAAGATAATTATACTACAAACAGAGAGGTTCATATTACAAGGAAACATACAATTTGGTATTGTTTGCTGATTTTTAACATATAATTTAATTGTATTTTGGACAGTTATGATAATGTCCCTCACTTCTTCAATTAAAAGTAAATATTTTAATTGAGCATTTTAGTTCTAAATTTTTCAAACAAACTTTCAAAGAGAGCCATTTGCGTATTGCTAGTTAAGGCAAGAAACTGGAAATGGTGCAATTTAGCCTTGGTGAGAAAAAGATGGTTACTGATCTGCCTAAGTGTGCAGTTTACATTTTATTATGTGCATATATATATTTTTTTTTACATTTTATATATGCACATAATTTGTTTACATTTTATACATGCACATAATTTGTTTCTTCCACTAATGAGAATTTTCTTGCTTTTCTTGTTTAATGTATTTACTATTTTTAACTTTTCATCTACAGAGAAAAATATGTTCAAGGGAAATGCATTTTACCATCCAAAAGAATTTGTGAAAACTGCCATAGTATGCCACTGCATATCATAAAAGAAATTATTTAGTGGCACCAGAAAGTTGTATTTTAGATATTTCTACATATTGTATGTATTTCATATCTTGCTCTTGCATGTTGTATGTTTCTGTATATTACATGTTGTGCATATAATATGTGACGTTATGATTTTGGGTATGTTTCTGTATTTTGTTTGTCTTAAATGAAATAAAAATTTATCTTAATTACTTCTGCATATGTATATTACATAAACTGTGTACTGGGCACACTGAATTAGTTGCTTGTATGTAACAGCAACTGCTTTTATTCCTCGCAAAAACCACTAAAAAATAACTTGCAGGTGCCAGTCATTCTAATTACATTTAACATTTAAAACCTTAAATTCCATGAAAACTTGAAAAAGAACCAAAAACAAAGGAAGTTTTTGTATTTTATGCCTTGTTTAAGTTACCCTAACTGGTAAACAGCACATGTTAAAATGAAAGAGAGAATTATACTGTTACATACATTAAACTACACAGAAAATGCATTAAAATGGAAGCATTTTATAGACAGCCTTCCTTTATAACAGAGAATCCAAATGTACACTGTACTGATTCGAAAATAAAACCTCCTCAAATATAAGATCCTAAACTATAGTATAAATGTTAAGAAATAAAAATACATTCAAAAGTCGTTAATCCGCACTCGTCGGGACTTCGGCGATTCCGGATTATCGATTTTTACGGATTATAGATCATCAGTTTAAATCTGGTAAGATGGCATGCAAAAATTATAAAATTAAAAATATGAAACCGTAATTTATGAAATAAAGAGCAATTATGATCTAAAGGTTATCAAAATTTACAAAAAGAAAAAGCTAAATATTTATTTGTTTACTTTATTAAACATTTCTTTCAATGTAAGTTGTTTAATTTGCTTCATTTCATGTGATAATACTTTCTCTTTAATTCTATTAAACAGACATAATTTCTTGTTTAGTTACAAAGTTCCGCTGTTCAAATCCTATAATTGCTGTGTCGAGAATACCGACTAATTTGTCAAACGAAATTTTTTCGTTTTCAATAATTTTTGAGTCACTTTCTTCACTATCGGAAGCGAATTATAATGATGAGGAACTTGATTTAAATCATATCAAAGACTGAGTACATCGAGATGAAATACTACATTTAGTAAAGAATTATAAGCCAAATAAAATAAAAACATCTGCCCTGAAGGTAAGGATAGTGCTGACAGATCAACTTCCAATTCATTGCGTACCGTGTCGTTTCCCTCCCCCTGCAGAGCAGCGTGAAATTGATAAACATATTTCGGAATGATTAGATAATCAAAGGATATATGCCTTTATCCATTTTTTGCAGCAATTCCACTTTTATTGGACTTCGAAACATACTTTTGCTTTGTAGATCATTTACATATTAGTAAATATATATCGGAAATTCTATTTGACATAATCGGAAGTTCAAGCTTACTTTTATAAAATTGCTTTAACAGTCTGCAAAAAATAATAAGCTGGATCCAATTCGAAGATTAAGGAACAACGCAATCTGCAACATTAACTGAAATAAATAATTACATAGTTTTAGCTTATACCGTTCGTTATACATTAAACGTGCATGCGTAAACGTATTATGCGCATGCGCACATGTATATTCGCAACCGTAAAGGTGTTACGCGTGCAGAAAGTTTTTAGCTTTGAGGTCCGGATTATGGGTGTCCGAATTAACGACTTTTGACTGTACAGATGAATATTTTGTTTTGATTTGTTTGTTGAATGATTTATTTTGTTTTCCAGTTATTCTGGGGAGGGATCACTGTGTTTTTTAATTCCTTGAGAAATTTTTTGAAAAAAAAAAGGCCATTAGATGTGCCCCAAGGATACTGTTAGTGATATACTATCATCTTTCTGTTTTCAGGCAAATCAGTATACAATATAATAGATACAGGCCTAAATTTGAAGTCACTCAACAGAACTTGGCTATTACAATTACCAATAAATAATACACTTTCATATATATATATATGTGTGTGTGTGTGTGTGTGTGTGTGTATGTATGTATGTGTGTGTGTAACATACAAAAATATTAAAGAAAATTATTAATTAATGAATTAATTAATGACTTAAATTTAAATGGCAACAGCCCTTTAAATTCCTAATTTCAATTGAAATACATCCCCCTTTGTTCTGTGTCACTTATCTGCTTTCACCCCATCTTGTGCTTCTCACAGCGAGCCCGGTGCAACAGCAGCAATAATCATACTTATAAAGAAACTATGAACTGCGGGCATCTGGATCCGAGGAGTTTGTGCACATACCTAAAGCGGTTAAAGGTTTGAGAGTATCTGAGGGGAGAGATAAGGTTTTTTTTTAGTGTAAGGTGAGAAAGCAGAGTTTCGTTTTGGAGGGTGATACACGAAATGAAATCAGCTGCATATATTAAGGAGTTTTTTTCAATTTGTTGCATTCAGAAAATGAGGTCCCCTACATTTGCATTTGCAATATTTGAGTTTTCAAGTTTAGGAAAGTTTCCAAAAGTTTTCAAGTTTAGGAAAAACATGCCAGGCTTATTTATTCTCAGCATGCAGATAAAGATAAGTTGAGATTTTATGTTATTATAGAAGTGCATAATTTGTAAATATAACTATATTAAAATATTCAAAAATTCCAGAATGGTAATCTTATTTTGTCATAATTGCCTACACATTCTGTATCGTAGACTATTGCAATCAGGTGAATAAAGAAATAATATCCAGCAATAAGAAAATTTTGAGAGTTTTGTTCATGACACAGAAAGTGGCGAGTTAGCCAGGATTATATTTATATACAGTTGAGAATGCATTGTATAACTTGTATTATATTAATACAGAAGTAGAATATTAGTTTAAATTTTCAATGCAAAGTTATACATTAAATCGTCTGCAATGTGGAAATGTATATTTTACATATGAAATAATTTAGATTTACTGTATATGAATGTTACGACCTATTTTTATTGCACTGAGTGATACCTTTGGGATTACAGAGTAAAGGCTTTTTGAAGGATTTGCCAGGAATTCTCAAAAAGTTATAGATTTAAAGTTTAAGTGGGTAAGCATTTAAAGATAAAAATTAATGTTGATATGCTAAGGAAAAAATGTGCACTGTTGCATAGTGCTTTCACCAGAATGGCTAATATTTTAAAGGAAGAACTTGATAAAGATGATCAGGAGGATAAAGCTGTGTTTAACCCTTTCCGGCACGCTATCTTTTAAAGTTCGAATTTCGATAATAAAAAAAGGTAGGCAGTCTAATTAGGCCTAGAGGAGTACACAAGTAAAATATTGTGGAGATAGCACTTATCGTTTTAATTCTGTAAGTGTGCCTGAAGCAGGCACACTGATTGAATAGAGCTTCGAAAAAAGTGCTGAAACGAGCATTGCTGGGAAGTCCGTAAAAGAGTAAGAGATTTCGCATACGATTAAAAAACACTAGATTCTGAATACCGTAGCAGATTTAGCATTACCCAGGATGTGCCACGAAAAGACCTGCTACTCTATATCCCCCTAAAAAGTTTTTTTTTGGTTATATGATGATTGCATGCACATGAATGGGGAGGAAAGTAACTTGGGTATATGATATTTACATTATTCACATTTCATATTTACACTTTAGTCTATTTTTTTTATGGTGGTACTTTTCAAAGAAAGTGACACCACCTTTAAAAAAGCACAACCCAATATTGCATGTTTTGCATATGTACCGGGATCTGTATCAGATTCACTATCTGAAAGCAGTTCGTGAGCACTTTCAGTGGTTCAGAAATGGTCAGCCCTCTCCGATCCATTTGGAAAATAATTAAAAATCTATAAAAAAAAAAAAAAAAAAAAAAAAAAAAACTAATATTATATCTACAATTAGAAATTAATTATAAACTAAAATTAAATAAACGTCTGCAACTCAAAACTATTGAATGTAGTGCTAGCGAAACTTTGAACAAAAGCGAAAGAGAAAATGAGAACTGCTCTAGTGAAAAACCAAACAGCTAGCTGATAAAATTACCCTCGACCTTCAGAAAATCACCCCAACAATTTGCTAGTTGATAACCAAATGTCCCCTTTCCCCACACACACACACACACACACACACAAAAAAAAAAAAAAAAAAAAAAAAAAAAAAAAGAAAGAGAGAGAGAGAGAGAGAGAAGAAGAAAAAAAAAAACAAGAAATGAAACACAGATGTGGACCCACCTTTCTATTGTCAATGAATTGACAGATGAGATGCGGAAAAACAAAGAATACAGTCTCTCAGTTGTCCCAGATTCTCGGTGAGCCCTGAGGGTTGTCTGGGACCTCAGGTGTCTGGGAACACCTGAGGTTTGCCGTTCGATTTTAAGCAAGATATCAAGGTAAAAATTTAAAACTAATATAGAATAAGGAGATTAGCATACAACCAAAAAAAAAAAAAAAAAAAATAAGACAGAAATTTCTTTTCAAACAATTCCCTTTATACCCTAAAAAAATCTGGAAGGTTTCTTTGAAAAATGAGGATCTTTAAAAAACTAAACATGGCTAAAATATATGGACTGGTTTGTGGTGAGCTACCATCTACTATAAATAAAGAAGGTTCAGAGTAACCTGTAAATCCTTTTTCATTCAATTTTTCTGTGCATACAGAAGAAAATTTTTTGGTGCCGCAAAGGGTTAAAGATAAAACTGCGAAGATACAAATGATAATTTCTGAGTTGAGAATTCATGATTCAGAGATACTAGATTTATTAATTAAGGGCAAAGCCACTCCAGATAATCTAGAAACCAAAGTAATAAGACGCGAGGAATATTCAGAGGAGGCTTAGCCATGAGGTGAAAGAGAGAACAGATAATGCAGATGACTATAACGTTAATACAAGTTTAACACGGATGGCAATATAAGTGCTTCTAACGAAAAAAGGCAAAAATTGCCAAACATTCAGGGAGCAATTATCAAGTTAACCTATATTTTGGAGGCCAATTTAAGAACACCCATGAAGATAAGGAACTTGGTGATGTTGATTAGTTCCATTATTTAGCTCAATCAATATTACCCAGAACTTGGAATTGATAGATATTTAGCCTTCAACGGTGGAAAACTACCTGAAAGCTATTTCTGCATTTGAGGAGTGTTTTGGCAATAAGGAAATTTTAACTGAGATATATATAAGGGAATTATTAAAATTAATTATCCAAAATGTATGCTTGCAAGGGAAGAATAAGTTGCTTCTAGTGCTCCTGTTTGACAAAATCAAATCATAACTCAGATCTCTCTTCAGGCATAACCCTGAACACTAATGCTTCCTGGTTCTACCCCATGGTCGAGCCCTGTTTATCAGATGAGATGCTTTGGGTATGACAGAGAAGCACTTTGTTCAGTAACAAGGGATCATATCGATCAAGTCTCTTGGAGTTTTTGTGCAAAGAGTTTGAAAGCAAACATACAGTAAAATTTGCCAGCTCTGGATTTGAATTTTTTTTCTATTTAACGTGATGAGCATTTTCAAGATGTAAAATTTAGGAACAAACAAAAAAAGTCACGAGTGCAGCATGTTTACTTGCTAGCAAGGAAAAAAAAATATTTTGTTGGGAAAACTCATAAAAGCTAAGAATGTTTTACAGTTCAATCTATATCCTCAAAGAAAAGGTTAATCAAATTAAGAGAATTAATGTGCAGCCTATGCTGTCTTAAGCCAAAGCATTTTGCAAGGCTGTATCAACAGTTTATTCAGTGCTAGCTATGCCAGCAATCTCATCCCCTAATTTTATGTCCCAAGGTACCAAAGAATATAACTGAGACTAAAGCGAAAAGCAAAGAGTCACTAATGGTATAAAGTACCGTGTCCAACACCCCCTATATATGAACTAACTTATGACTTTAATGGCTAAGGTAGCTGCAGGCAATATAAAGAAGGTCAGGTGCCTCTTGGATTGTGGATCACAGAAACCTTACATTTTACAATCTAGAGTTGAAACTTTAAATCTGAAAAGCCTTTCCTCTCAGAATTTAATTCATAAGCTATTTGGGGGAACAAAATCTAAGTCAATAAATTACAATATTCTATGAGACTTATAATCCAGTTGGGAGAAGCACAGAGTACTAGTTCTGTTTTCTGGATCAAGATACCATTTGTGGAAGGATATCATGCATTCCTAAAGGCCGTCATTGAAGAATACTAGATATTACACAGAATTTGGATTTCAGATGTCGGTGAGGGTCACCCGGAAATGGAAATCTTCATTGGGAGTGATATTTATAGGCAAATACTTACTGGTGAAGTAATTCAGATTAAGGTGGTTTGATAGCCATAAACACTAAAATGGGATGGACGTTGTGTAGGGAACCAGAAGGATCAATTACACGAAGTTTTGAGGGTGCCCAATCCCCATTAGTAACCAATTTTCTGGTTCAAAACATGAAACTGTCCGATATGGAATTTAGAAACTATTGACATTGTAGATGAAGCAAACTGCACATGATTTCCTAAAGTTGAAAAATATCAAGTGATGCAGGAATAGTTTCTGAGGAGCCTTTGCAGAACTGAAGGCAGTAGATATTGCATGAGTTTACCTTGGGTTAAAAAATTTCCCCCTGACATTCCCTACAACAATCATATTGCAGAAACGAGACTCTTTGCACTACAAGAAAGTTAAATAAATCTGATTAGTTTAATATGGTATTCAAAGAATGGCTGTTTGAAAATGTTGTAGAAATTGCCCTAGAATTGGGAAGGAACGAAGATCAGTATTTAAATCATCTGGTAATAAAATTAAGTAGCCTCACTACAAAATTAAGCCCATATTCAATGTGAAGCAAGAAATCTTAGCCATTCTGACAGCATGGATGGATGACACCGTAATGATAGATGCCATAAGACATACTTGAAGAACAGTTGTCAGACTTTGAAAGGGGTTGCATCATACGGCTAAAAGAGGCCACTTGGTCAAACAGGTGGATCAGATAGCATATAGGTTGGAGAATCAGCCAGCATATAATTTGGAGAAATATGGCCGTTGACCATTACTGGAACCAGTGGATCAGCAAAATCATAGTCAGCAGCCGTAGTGACTCAGGGCATCCTCTCAGGCCACCAATAAGCAAGATGACTGCATAATCAGAAGAGCTGCCATGTCTACACCAACAATTATGCTATCACCGATTCAATGCCATTCGTCAACTCATAGGGAACTCAGAATATCCACGGATAGGATATGCAGAAGATTAGGTCTTGCGGGCCTCAGATCTCGACATTCATTAAGACACTTGCCATTGACAATTCACCATAAGCAGTGTCATCTTACATGGTGCTGCTCTTGCTCAAGCTGGAAAATGTCCGATTGGAGAAATGTGAGCTTCAGTGACGAATCATGCTTATCTCTCAATGCTGATGACCACTGCATATGTGACTACAGATGGAGAGGTGAGCAGTTCAATGTACCATTTGTTTTCTAGAACACAGGGTGTGACAATCTGGCAACAATCAACTGGAACAGCCATTCACTATTAGTCATGCTGCAAGCAATTCTGTCGGAAGTAAGATGACAACAGCTTGCAGCCCATTGTACTGCCTATGCTGGAACACTTGGCCACATACAGCACAACCTTCCCAACAATGCCTTCAACATGTTAATGTCCTTAAGTAACCTGCCAGATCTCCACACCTGTCACCTATGAAACATGTCTGGGACATATTGGGCAGGCAAATTCAACCATGTACAAATACGTCCCAACTCACTGACCAACTCCTCCACTGTGGAACAATCTACTGCAGAAGGACACTGGCAACTTAACAGACTCCATGCCTCACCAAATATGGGCCTTGTATAGATGGCATTGCAACACAGTATATTTATAAATGGTATACATACACACTATTTAAAAAATCTGAATTACTTATAACAAAATTACTAGTTTTTAAACTCATCACACCAAGTAATTAACATCTTCTACTAAAAGCTAATATCTAACTCTTTTCAATAATACAGAGACAACTATTTACTTTTAGTTTAATAAATTTTATACCAAATGTTAAAATTAAATATACGTCCCCTATTCTTCTTATAAAATTTATCTCGTTTGGAATCTAGATTGTTATTAAGATTTATACTAAAACAAATTCTATTTTAGAGTATTCTCAAATAGTGTCTTCTGTTAATTTATTACTATGTATTCTGTTAATTTATTGTTGTAAATTTATTATATCTGGAGTAAGTAAAATTATAGTACATTAAGATAACTTTCAGAAACTCAAATAACGATACTTACTTGTGGCCCCACACAGGTTCAAAATTATGAATCTGAAAAAAAGAAAAATATTTTGAAAATATGTAAAACAATTTACACAAAAAGATATTTAATGATAATTACATCAAAATACAGATTTTAATTTCTAATAAATTTGAAAACTTCAAAAGGGGACAGGGATCTTTTTCCTCTTTTTAAATTAAAGTAGTTTATTTTTTTTCCAAAATTATGAAGAGTTAATTAGATATATATATATAGATAGATAGATAGATAGATAGAATTATTTTTCCTTCCTCTTGCATCACCATTGTTAATGAAACCATAATCAATGTTACTTTTGGGGACAGATGATTTAATGAGTAGCAACTGCCTAAAATCTAATTCTAAAAAGAAATACTAGACTAAAAAATATTTATATATAAAAATTTTATGTCTGATCTTGAAAGCACCTTTGCAATGTTTACTACCATCAAAAATTTCAGATCAATCCAAAAATTTCAATAACAAAAATTTGTATCATGATTAATTACACTGAAATCTTTCACAGTGACCATCTCTTCACCAAAACTATCTCTAATAATGAGCCAACCTTTCTAAGAGCGTAATTAAATAATGGCACTGTACATTATTTATAGTCAAGTTTCATGGCAACTCAGTATCTTCATAAAAAGACCAAAATCATCTGAAATGATGGTTGACCATTTCAGAGAAGTTTTACTGTACATGCTTGTAATTTAATAGATACTAGATATTACACAAATAATTAGACTAATTCAAAATAGAACTCAACATTTTATTTATAACATTTAATATACATTAGCATACAGTGAATTACAAAACAATGTTTAGCTTTTTCTATAATGAGACTAAACTTGGATTTTTGGAGATACAGCCTAAACTGCAGACAGCTTCAAAAACAAACTGCATTTCATATGCAAAGCTTATACACTGGCAGGAACAATTAAAGGAACAAATAGGAAAAATTCATGAAATTTGAATGATTTTTTTCAGTTAAAAGCATGGAACATAGGAATAAATATAAAAATGAAACTGTTCATTAAAGAGAATTCAGCTGCAGTCCATGGCATTCCAATAAGTATGATCTTGGCACCTTTGTAATACCTGATATATGTAGGAGTGTGATTACCCCCGACCAATATTCAAGCTCTACAGCAGTTTTACATACTGTGTATTATGTCAGAATTCTTGCAGTAACAAAGTCTTTTCATAATAAAAAGCACCCAGAAGCTTTTGAAGAGCATGCCAGATAAGGGTCACAACAATAAAAATTGGCATCATAGTGCATCCCACATGCATTCCATTAGATTGAAACTGAGGGGGAAAAAAAAAGAAAGAAAACAAGAGGGTCACTTCTTTCACTGGACTTAATCGGTCACTAGAGCAGCACTATGTGGATGAGCATTATTGTCCATTAGGGGGAAGTTATTACAATTGCACCCCAAACCACTATATATTTCAGCATATGTAGTTGCACTAGTAAAAATTCACACATCAGTGCAGCCATTCAAAATGATGTCCATCCATATCATGATTCTACAACCTTTATACCAACAACTTTCATGAATGTTTTCAGGCTTATTTTACATGTTTTGTTCCCTTCAGATTATTAATCACTCTCCAAATAAAAATGAAACTGTTCATTAAAGAGAATTCAGCTGCAGTCCATGGCATTCCAATAAGGATGATCTCGGCACCACTGCAACTGTATTCATTTTGCTGCAGATGCGAATTTAATGGGACACAAATTCCTCTAATTCATTCAACAAAAATGGGCCTTTGGGATTGTCTTCTCCTACGTAGTCTGTCACTCACAATATATATATAAACTCACAAATATATATACACTGAAACCTCGTTGCATTATGACCACCTGTTTTATATGAAGCAGGACCACTTTTCGCCCTCAAAACTGCCATCACCCGATGAGGTTAATAGGTGGTCTCGATAAGGTGCTGCTGATAGGTAGTCTGAGATATCTGGTACCAGGCACTCACCCACTGGTAATGCTATTCCCGCACATTGAGCGATCCCAGTGCATCCAACATGTTTCCACGAATCAGGTTTTCTATGCGGAACCACACATCACCATGAATCGGGTTTTCTAGGTGGAACCATAAGTGTTCAATTGGATTCACATTAGATGAATTCAAAGACCAAGACATGACTTGAAATTCACTAAAATGTTCCTCGAAACACTCCCTGCTGATTCGGCCCTAATGCATGGTGCATCATCTTGTTGGTAAAGGCCATCACCCATCGGTGTACACCATTGCCATGAAATGCTTGCAATGATGTACACACAGTGCACAGACATCAAGGATTGTTCTGTAGGAATGATGGTTCCTAATATGCCCCATGAAAGCATTGCACACAACATACTACTGCTATTACAGTCTGGTATCTGGCTAGCTGTGCTGCTGGGTGACAAGGTTTAGGCTGGAAATCAGCATATTCATACTTGCTCATCAATGTCATTGATCAGAAAATGTGATTCGTTGGACCAGGCAACTTTGTTCCATTCTTTTTTGGTCCAATGCTCATGTTCTCTGGCCCATTATGGGTGCAGTTGGCAATGAAGTGCCATCAGTACAGGGATGCAATTCGGGCATTGGTTGCATAGGTTAATACATAGCAGTGGATGCTGCACTCTGTGTTGATGCACACTATCTGGGTTACCACTGCTGTAGCTGCTGGTGATTACAGCCATTGTAGATCTTCAATTTGGCGAAGAAAGTATGACAGTCTATACTCTCCTTTGAAATAAATGTGATGTGGCAAACAAACCACTGGTCAACGACTTGTCATTTCACCATCCATACACCACTTTTGATAGTTACTCACAACTGCTGCACATGAGCAGCCCACCAAATACACCATTTCTAAAATTGATGTTCCCAGGCACCCATGCATAATGATTTGACATTTACAGAAACCTGATAAGTCAGCTGTTTTCCTCTATTATGTCGCTACACATTCTACATGTGAAAAAACAGTGCCCATGGGTTACCTTTCATAAGACTACTTGATAAAGCAACTATAAAGAATTTTTATGGCTGTTCTTTTAATTTTCCAATCAATATATATCATTGCATATCATTTGACTGTCATCTCAGTATCATGTATTTTGGTATAAAAGAGCCGAAGTTTCAATGACGGAATAGAGAATTTTTTGAAAAAGAAAAAGAATGCTTACTTTCCATGGGTCAAGTTTACTATGATCCCGTTCGGCTTCTCCTTTCAATTTCATTTGATTTTCAGGTGTAAATTCACCTTCCTGTAGACGACGTTTCCATTCTTGGCAGGCCCGTGCAAAAAACTCGTTACTTAGTGCAGTTGCAGTTAGCCGTACAGAATAATCAGGTCCAATCATTCTGTCAGCCTGAGGTAATAGTTGAACCAGTCGATACTGATAAACAGCAGGTAATGAAGCAAAAGTATGCTTATTTAACAATGCCTGCAAAATAAAAAAGTAAAATATGAAGTTAATGATATTAATTAAAAAAATTAGAAAAATGTAATATACTTATTCCCATTTCCTCTGGATGCACTGACTTATTTAGAAAGTCAATTTGCATTGTTAAGTCTAACTCCAGAAAACAAAATTGCATAAATTAAGCACGGTTTTTAGTACATTATGAGAGAAACATTCAAGTAGTAGTCAGAGTTACTTTATCATTTTATTGCTTCCCATTTGAAGCATAAAAAGTGTTTCACTAAAGGATACATAAAACATTCGACTCAAAAGTTAAATTCTAAGACAAATGCATAAAACCAATAAGACATATATTCCGATATACCCAAAAATTTAAATAAAAAGTATTAAGAAGCATTGAGAACATTCTCGTGTGTTTACATCAGTTAATAGCCAGCTCTGTTTATTTACATTAAACCATGATTTCTGCTTTGATTTAGAAATAAAATGATGGTCAACATTCTCCACTCTTGAAAATTCCACCATAACAAACATGGGGCAACATCTACTGGCAGGGGGGAAAGGATTTAAAAAAAAAAAAAGCTACTAATTAATTTTCTGTTTAAAAATTCATATGTGGTACACACACCATTAGAGTCAATTTAACCTTTTAACTGTCATGCCCGAGACACTGGTGTTCGAAAATGTCACGCCCGAGAAATACTCGGACGTGACATTTTCGAACAAAACTTTAAAAATTTTACCCATGTACTTCAAAATATCAATTTTTAACTACTTAAGTATATTTTATTTTGTACTAAACATTTGATTTTTCCAATTAAAAAATTTGACAATTTGTGTACCCAAATCATCAAAATAACTTGACAGTTAAAGGGTTAAAGGGCAATTCATATACAACTTGCCTGGCTCTGAAATTACTGGCACAGCAGATGTACGTCTGTCCTGAAAGAGTTAATGCTGCATTTATTCTCTAACATTTAACCCTTTTGTGATGGGAAGCACAAACACATGCTTATCCCTGAGCCCGGCAGTCTCTTTTGCGAATGTCTGGCCCCAGACGGAGGGGTTTTTGCTAAGCCTAAATCCATGAAGAAGCAAGAAACGTACTCATTGCCCGGCTGGCACGCTGGTGTGCCAGAGCATTTTCTCGTGATATAAACATTAGCATTTTTATATCCCTTCGAATCTTTTTTGTTTCTTATTTTGCTACTATATACAGTCTTTTAGGGTTACTATGCGAGGTTCTATTACATTTTGCATTGCTTTTATTTCGGAAAACCTTCAGTTTATTTATGTACCTTATGCGACTTCAGTTTATGGCAAGCAAGCGTTTTTTATTAGATAAATAAGCCAATCAGTGATATGAATGAGAGAGATGACTAAGGATTTAGAAAGTGGTGTGTGTGTGTGTGATTATGGCAAATGCATTTTTATTTAAATTAATTATTAAAATGTAGAAAAAGTATTCTTAAGAACTGCGTTTATCGCTTAGTTTGTTAGTTAGTAGAAAAGAGATTAAATTTGAAAGTTAAAATATTTTAGGCTTTACTGAATGGCAGCAGCATGGCAAGAGGAAGATAATAGTATTTTATTGCAGGTTGTATCAGCACTTTGTTTTCTAATACCTAAGTTTCTTGATTAAAATTGAAAGATAAATATCTTTCATCTTGTCGAACGGAAATAACCTTGCGCGCTGGAGATAAAATAAAGTTTTATTTCGAGCACTATTGCTGCTGCTCTGTTTAAAAGCACTAAGTTTGTTAGTAAAAAATCCATTAAACTCACGCAAAATCTGAAATAAATAAAAAACAAATTCGAAATTCAAAATTCAGGCTTCGAGCTGCCCATGTTCTGGAGGAGGACTTTTTGTATTCCAAATTGGGTGGCTCCGGGTGCCACCTTTTTTCGATAATGCGAAGAACATTTGTATACACATACATCCTCGCATGCTTTAACAGAGATTAAGACCCATTAATTAAGACCCATTATTAATTTGTTCGCTTCTTTAAGTTAAAAAAATTTACAGTAAAACTCCAGTTATCCGGTACCCTAATTATTGAGACCACTTATTACGCCTTTAAGACAAAGAAAATGACATATTTTAAGTAGCTATTATATTAATTTAAACAAATGTATATCATAAAATACCTAATAGCATAAATGGCTATTTTATAAATGGGAAAGGAAAAGCGATTATGGTGTGCTTACAGGTTTACTGTTTTTATTAAACTTCAAAAAGTATATAAAGATTAATTTTATGTGTGTATGTGTATTTAATTATGGCAAAGCACACTAGGGCTATCTGCCTAAGTGGAGGGAAAGCCTTCGTGGAGGACTTTCTAAGGGAAACTGGCTCGTATACACGTTACACATGGGGAAAACCACGAAAACGCCCATGCAGCCAGCCCGTTCGCGGGATTCGAACCTCGGACCGAACTACCAGTGTTCAGCGACTTTACCGCTCGGCCGCTGGTGGGCCGATTTAGAAAGTGGTATTTCTAGTGATTCTCATATAGACATTTTGCCAGACACTGAGCTCACTGAGTGTCTATCTTCCAGTTCACATGAAAGGCTTTATATTTTGTAAACAGACTTGAGCTCACTGAGTGTCTATCTTCCAGTTCACATGAAAGGCTTTACATTTTGTAAACAGACTTTCTTGTATTTTTTTATTAATTTAAAAGTTTATTAATGTATTTTATCAATTAAAACTCTGGAATAATTTGAATAGCGTTTCCGAAAATTATTGCTCAAAATGAGCAATTTTTTTAAATATATTTTCATTTAAAGTAAAGGAAAAAGGTATTTAAATGCTAATTTTAACATATACAGTGGTGGCCAAAATTGTGGACACTTATGGAAATTTTTATGTTTTTGAACTTTGTATGCTTATAGAAAACAATACGTTTCACAAAATACAAACTTGTATATATTATTTTAAAGAGAATTTATCACTGAATTTAATACAAAACACAAAATTCAATTATTTGCAATACAAAAAAAGTTAAAAGATAATAGTTATCGATATACATTAGATAGTGATGATTGCAGTGAGTTATCAGTACTTAGTAGGTTACCCTTTATTTTTTATTACAGCTTCACATCGAAGTTTGAGCTGACAAGAGTTTTAAGCTCTTCTTTCGTTATTACATGATGCCAGGAAACAATTATAGCCTCAATTAGTTCTCTTTTATTTGATGGGCGCCTCATTCGGACAAACGTTTTCAAACGGTGCCACAAATTTTCGATAGGATTGAGGTCAGGACTGTTTCCTGGCCATGACAACAATTTAATGCTCTTTTTACGAAACCACTCTTTCAATATTTTGGCCGTGTGGCAAGGAGCAGAATCCTGCTGAAAAATCAACGAAGCATTGTTGGGAAAGAGATCGCTGATGGAAGGTAAGTGTCAATGTATTTTCTGGCATTCAGTGTCCCATCGATGACATGAAGGCGATCAATACCATCTGCTGACATGCATGACCAAATCATAACACTAACTGGGTTCTTCTCAGTTGCTTGAATGCAGTCGATGTAGCTCTTCTCCTATTCTACGTCTTACATATTTTCGTCCATCACTACTGAATAACGATATCTTAGTTTCATCACTCCATATACCTTGTGACCACTGATCATCTGTCCAATTAATGTGTTCCTTTGCCCACTGTAGTCTTTTTTTTTTTTTCGTTGCTGAAAATTAAGATAAGGCTTTTTTCGTGGAATTCTACCTCTCAGTCCAACATCTGTTAATCTTCTCCTGATTGTTTTTGAAATGACAGAAACACCAGCATCATTCAGATCACTTCTGATGGCCGCTGATGACATTTTTCTATCTTGGAGACATAGACTTTTTATTCTTCTGTCATCAATAGATGTGGTGCACCTTTTTTGGCCTTTTCCTTCTTTGTTTTTTATTAATTTGTCTCCTGATATCGTAAACAAAACTTTCGGACTTCAGATGTAGTCACTGAACCACCCACCTGTCTTGCAATTTCAGCATAGGAAAGACCACTTTCTCGTAACACAATAATATTACATCTCTTTCTAAGTGTCCAATCTACTCTTTTATTTGATGTCATTGCTTCTTGACTAAATATTAAAAATTTTTACAAAAATTCCAACTTGTAATTGCAGTGTATAAGAAATAGGTCCTCCTTCTACAGAACAAAGCAAAATAATAAATTGTTTCAAGTGTAATCTATTTTGAATTATTTCATGATAAACTTAGCACTGACGAATCAACGGTTTCACATTACAGTAGTGGATCAGTATTTGTATGTCACTGAAATGATAGTTTTTAGTGATTGTTTCTTCAAATTATTGCTCTCATATTTCAATCCAGTTATTCATATGCAAAAATGAAAAAAAAATCAGATCTACAACAACCAAATTTGATTCATATATACAATTCTGGAATGGGCTGATTTGACCTATTAGGTAGATGTTCAGCAGTTACCATCCCCAACTTCACAGTAAGAAATAGAGGTGGAATTTATCTGCAAATGGATTAAATATGGCTGCCGTGGCTGGATGGTCTTACATCTAGCACCTCACAGAAAAAAGAACCAACTCACTCACCTGGAGTTTCATCTAGAAGTTACAATCACACTTTTACAAACTGTAGCCAGAAAGGATGAACCTCAACCAGGATCAATGCTCACCACCATATATCACAGTGGAAGATGGATAGTCATTATCTCATGGCAACAATTCAAGTCAGTTGAGCACAATAAATGTAAGATTAGAATGTAATGAGTTAAGATAAGGCTCATAACTGCTTTCTAGAATAACATGGAATACAGGTATAAATTTTTTCATTTAAATTTATAAATTTTAAGCTGAATTTATATATACGCTTTCATTTTAAATAAATCCTTCATGATATCATACTATTTTGCTCATTATTCAATATATTCCATTTTCAAGATCAACATGGTAAACTAAATAATCAGAAGTGGGCAATGTTTCTAATTGGGAACATCATGAAAAATTATGTATAAGAATTGTTCTCCCTATAAAACT